GCGATCGCCAGGCGCTGGCGCCGGCGCCTGGCGATAGGCCACACCACCACCGCACTCCCCTGTCCGGCTGGACAGCCTACCCACCGATTGCAGGCACTAGCGCCAAATGTTTTGCTAACCCTGGGTTTTACGGTAGTATCGAGTGTACAATCGACGCAAATAATGAAAATTGGCTCAGGGGGCCATTCACGCTTCACGCTTCGTCGTCGCGACATGACGCACGATTCAACTTTGGAGTCTTTCCGAATATAGTAAAAACTAGAAACGTTAATGAGGACGAGTAAAAAACAAAATTCTGACACCATTCGAGACACCCCCAAATTACAGTGTCTGAGGTGTGTGTGTGTGCGTGAGGGCTAATATGCCTACTCCAACAGTCCTGTTGACACCGTCCCGCGATGACATCGATCTTCGGGCGAGCCGGCGTCATATTTGTCGGTGGTCCGAGTGGTTATTACTTAATGCGAGGGGTGGATAACTCCCCTGCCAATTGTACACCCCTAATTCTGCCCAATTCAAACTAATTCATGCCAATTCAATTTAATTCAATCAAATTCAAAACTAATTCAGTCCAATTCAAGACAATGTACATTCAATTCAAGTCAATTCAAGCCAATTCAAGCCAATCCACGCTAAATCAGTAACAAAAATCGCAATAATTCAAACCAATTCAAAACCAATTCAACCAATTCAGTCCAATTCAAATTCAATTCAAGCCAGTTCAAGCTAATTCAAATTCAATTCTTGAAATTTGTACACCCAATTCAGGAGTTATTCACCCTCGACTTAATGGGTGCTATAGTCGGCGGGGCGCGCGGGGCGGGGCAGGTAGGAGGGCAGTCTGTGAGTCCGCGGGACGCTCGTGGGGGAAAATGTGTTCTCGGAACAAGGAAAGTATACACCCGTTCCGAGCGCATTTCGGAACCAATTGAATCAATACCATTGATCAATCAATCAATACCTTCCAGACATCATAGCATGCAACAAAAACGCGACCTCATGAGGTCAGACTGACAAGAGAGGACGGTGCGCCACCGTGGGTTGCCCAACATAGCGGAGTTTTGTTGCACAACTTGCCTACATTTCAGGTGGCTCAATGAAGACGACAGAAAGTAGATAGCCCACTACCCATTCCCACCTTCATACCGCGTCTGTCGTCCGGTTTGAATCAAGTCCATTCGGTATACTTCGTGAGAAAGCTATATGTTTCTTGTTTCTGTCCCCATGCTCTCTCTTGCGGCGCAGTGCGAGGCAGGGACTAGTGACGCGGCCCTATAGGGACCCAAAGGGGTGGGGAGCACGCGACCGGCGTAATAGCCCCTCCCACCGAGGACCTTAAATGCATCCTGACCCTCGCCGACGACCGGTCCGGAGGGAATAGAACGCGCGGGCTTCCTGTACACGAGCACAGATCAGGTGAGCGTGTACTGCGTCAGTGGCGTCGGAGGTGGGGGTGTGGGGGTGCGATTTGGGCTTCGGAATCCCCCCGCCCGCACACCGGGGCCGGGGCGTAGAACAGCGGGCAAGAGTGAGATATTTCATGTACTTTGGTCTTTTCAAGCACATTTAGCAACGTTTTGTCACGAGGGCAGGTGAATTTCTCACTCTTCCTAGACTGTGAGGGAAACCAAGGTGCGAACGAGCCCCTGTGTGGCCTGGGGCAGGAGCAGTATTGGTCGAGCACTAGTTCTGCCCCCTTCCCCTCCCAGGTGACCTGACCTGCAAGGTCAGGCGCGAGGGTCGCTCGCTGTCGGTAGGAGGGTAGCAGGGTCACCGGCGGCACTCACTCGGCCACCCGCTGCCGTTACAGCCCCCGACGAGACGTCTGCCCCGACCACTTCAGGGCCACTCGAATGATGCATCAATTTTTACTCCCGTTGAAATAACCCGTCATAAAAAAAGAGGGGACAAGCGCGTCGTACGTGGCGTGCAAGCCGACTATGCAAGGTGTCCCATAGGGCCCGTACTTTAGTTTGGCGATTCAGACGTGTGGGTGAGTACAGTCTGGCCGGAAAGCAAAAGTACAGGGCCGCTGTGGGACACGCACACACTGAATGACTCAATGTTCCGTCGCGCCACTCTCGCAGCCACCCGGGGCGTGCCGCCGTATGGCCGCGGTCCCCGGGGCCGGGACATGCCCGCACCCAAGGCCGCCAAGCTGCCTCCCAAGGCGCCGCCCCAGGCCGTGCCCGGGCCCGGGGTGTACATCGTGCACGCGGCGCCCTTCTTCTCGGTGCCGTTGGACGCCGAGGCGACGCACACGACCGTGTCCCAGCGGCCGGTAGGTGGGCTGCTCACGTCCACTGAACCCCGACGAGGGCGCGCGTCGGCCGGCCACGGCGTCGGCCGGCCACGGCGACGGCCGCCTTAGGCTCTCTGCGCCCCCTCGAGTCACAACGGGGGACCACGCCACAACGCGGCCCGACATGTTCCAGGCCGCGCACGTCTACAAGTGGAGCTCCAGGATGAGCCCCCTCGGACACACGGTCCTGGGCGGCAAGCGCTCCAGCGTCAGCTCCTACGCGTCCACCGGGGCCGGCAGCGACGCGACCGAGGCGTACGCCAGGGCCTACGTGCAGAACGAGGTCGGGGCGGCCGCGAGGCTGAGGAGCACGGAGACCTCGCTCGCCGACGGCCGCCTCCACTCCCTCCACTCTGGCACCCCGGGGCCCCCAGCGCCGGCCCCGCTCAAGACCGAGGAACAGAACCGCAGTCTGATGGACAATAATGTCATGAGGCAGACCGTAAAAATGGTAGCCCCCATCTTGTGGGTCTTCGTGGTGTACGGGCTGATCCCCGTGCGGTTCAAGCGGTTCAAGCCAGGTGAGGACTAGAGGACTAGAGGACTAGAGGACTAGAGGACTAG